ATAATATCTTTTTTCATTGTTCCTTTAATGTCAAAGGTTTCTACTGCTCCAAGAACGACAGGATCAGGTGTCATTTTTATATCGAGTCCCACTGCATCTGGTGGAAAATCGGGACATGGTGTAAATTGAGTTTCTCTTTTTTCAAGTTCAAGTGGTGCTGCATTGACCGCAAAAAGCGTAGCAAATAAAACGAATGCCTAAATAAATATTCGACTCATGATTACTTAAATTTTCTTGTAATTAGATTTTTATTAAAATTAAAATAAATGTTTATTATTTTTTTTTTTTTGAATTCGGTTTAAATCAGCTACTTCTTTTATAAGAAAAAAAAACAACCAAAAGATTTACTTTGTTTCATCTTTCTTTTTCTTCTTATTAATTTTATTAATTTGCAAGTCTAAAATAGACGATTATCATTATGCTATACATCAAGAAACCATACTAAAAATAATAATTATGTATTACTGCGTTGAATATCTTAACTAATTTCGTTTTTGTTTTTTAAAAAAAAAATTGACATCTCCGGTCATTGTTTCCTTAGATAAGAAAGCGGCTGTGCTTTGTTTATAACATAAGTTTAAGAAGTAATGATGAAATTTCAGCCTTCAGAATTTTAAAAAAGGCTACAACTAAATTAATATATTTCAGGGGCTTGTATTAAAAAAGGAAATAATTTTTACAAGTCCTGTAATACGCACACGGATACCAAATCAACCCATACATTACATGTGACAACTCACCAACACACCAATTTCAATTCCTATTAGGGATCTACCTCACGCTCGTTTTTTCTCTAAATCGACAATTTGCCTGTAGTTGATAAATATTTTAATCGTCTACGCCAATTACGCCAAAAACTTGATAACGGCAATAGTAATAACAGAAAAACCAAAACTATTATCCGGTTCAGTTCTGGTGAACACGTGATTTATCTAGGCTTTCACCTCAAATGTGGCGCAGAAAGCCGCGTCGCTCCAGCTGCCTACGTAATGTCGAAAAACCGTTGGCGTTGCGGCCAACACATTGATGTTTCATAGTAAACATAATTTAGCATATGATCCACGTTTCTATAATGAACATAAGAATAAAATTATCTCAGGAACAAGTATAAAAAAAAGAAAACAGAATAAAGAAGTTCACTCCGACCGCCTCGGATATACTGTCTCGATCAAAAATTACCGGAGCTCAGATGGACAACATAACCCGTACCTTTACGATGTTATGGGAAAATCTCAATTAGAACAATTAGAACAACAACGTATACACCCAGATAGACACATTCATACTAGACGAGTTTATTATAAACAATATTCACCATTACGTTTCGACGTTGTACGTTCCCCCAACAAATAGAAAGAAGGAACCGTTTGACACTTTGACACGTAGTGTCATTAAACAGGAGCACCGTAAAGGGCGTACCAAGCACCTTCTTATAGATCAGCCGTTACGCAGAACACCCAATCCAGTGGTGTTTAAACAGATTCATCACCTACCTGAAAGATTTGTTAACAATCCCTACGGCGCACCCGCAATCCGAAAGAAAAACTCAACTCGGTTAAACTTAAAAGACGAAAGAAAAATTGGTTACGCCGAATTAAAAAGCGTAACAAGCAGAAAAAACAACTACCCCCCTTACCTTTAAGAGTAGTGTTATTTGGAGTGGATTAGGGTTAGGTTAAGGAGGGTAGGTTTAGGGTTAAGGATTAGGATAGATGATTTCAGGTTATAGTAAAGATATTAAATAGAATTACAAATTTATTTTTTTTTATAAATCTACATATACCGATCAAAGCAGTTAATAGTTATTTTTTAAATGAAAGTTTACTAGCCAATTCAATATTACTTTATTAAACATTGAGGATAATATTAAAAATAATTAATGTAAACTTTCCGATATACAGTACAAATAAATATTGCTAAAACTACTACGTCATTAAATAGGTTGATTAACTCGAAAAAATAAACTTAATGTTTTCGATCTGACATGCTCCAATGCAATCAATAAAGAAATGTCATCGATATTACGTTTTTTTATCATTTAAAATAATCTCAACTTCCCTATCCTATTCTATATATGGCAGCAGCAGAAGGAGTAACAGAAGAAACGGAATGTTCCCCGCAATTTTATTAGGATACATTTTAAATGTATTTCACTCAACGCATTATTTCAAAGTTTTACTATTGGTTACAGGACTTTAATCTTACAAGAGGATGCTCTAACGGAATACACGGATGGTAGCTAAACAATTTCCAGAAGAAAGGATAATAAACTTAACTATGGAATTTATTATTCCCCTTAGGTATATATTATTACTTTAGGGTTAAAAGATATTTAGATATTTTTCGTTTTAATAAAAGACTCAACCTAGTTCTCCTGTACGAGATTGAAACAATCCAAGTTTTGCGAACATCCTTTTGGAAATTGCGCAAAATCAGTGCCCTGAGAGGCGTTACATTGGCAACAAAGGTCCTGACATACTCGCACTACCTGACCCTTACCTTGAGATACGACTGTCAAATAATCTTGGATTCTTATCCAAGATGCCAAATTGCGTCGTTCCAAAATCGGGTTGCAAAAATTAATGGTGGTAAATAATGTGATAATATATATTTGAAATAAACATGTCCGTTAGCAGTTTAAGCAAACTGTGTATTTTAGTAAGATATACTTTCAGTAAAATGGATTTAGGTAATATAACTTTTCTGTCATCTCAGTGAAGTGTCTTTCGGTAACACTTTCTACAAAATGGACTTATACTCCTTTATTTGCATCCTACGGATTTTCTGAATAATCGCATACAGTACATTTTGGTCAATATTTTTATGCTATATGATTAAAAATTAAAATATTTCATTTGAAAAATCCTATAATAGGACCCAGAATTTGATTAACGTGTAGATCTTTCCTTTTCGGATAACGCAAGCGGCATTATGTAATTCTGATCCTGTAGTAATTGAGCGCCGATCTCTGTTGATCGGGTCCTCTAATATTTCACTTTGATCATGCTTTACAACTGCCAACAAGCATTTTATGATAAAGTTACTAAATAATGAGAATGAATTTTAATAATAAAATCTTTAAAATAGTTCACGAAAGTTCCAAAAGAATTTCTAAAGAGAAAAATTGAAGACAATTGATCCAATTGTAAAAATCAACTGAATGTTCTGTAACAGTTGTTAACAATTAACGAAGCTGAATAAAGTTAAAATAAAAAGGATAATCGAACTATGATCTGGCGCGAAAAATAAGTTTTTATAAATTATAAAATTCCGTAACTTAATGCAACAAGCAAAGAGACCCTTCGTTACCAATTTGAGATTATGTCATATTTTTCTTTATGTGCATTTTTTCGGTATTTATTCAACTCATTCATTATAAATAGTGTGCTCAAATTGCGTTTTTATGAATAACGAACGACTAATTTTTAGGATCTCGATTTATTTACATTTGAAATTTAATGTAGTTTTTTACTTCAAATCACCGGAGGTGATCATCACCGTTGGCCGGAATTATCAATTTTTACCGGCACTATATTTTTTTAATGCTGGTCGATCATCATATTTTTAGTCACCGGTGATGTGATAGTTAGAAAAATTCTTTAATGTAATTGTAAAGATAATAAATATAACAATACAATTGATAAAAAATAACTTATACATGAATAAAGATTACTTGATCGTCATTGAAAATTTTTATGAAATAGGAAATGATGGACCTAATTATTTATTATTATGTTATTTACGCCATACATACATATACATCCAATAATCCTATACATTTACATTTCATATACATTGTTGGAATATTCTTAAATTTACTATTTTTAATGACCAATTATTAGTAATTAAGCGAAAATTTAAGGTATATGTTGGAATATTCTTAAATTTACTATTTTTAATGACCAATTATTAATAATTAAGCGCTTAAAATTATTATTATTAAAAAAATTTAAGTGTAACCCTATTTAAAAGTAAAACCAAAAGTGATGTTGCTTCAAGCAGATTATTATATATTATTTTTTTTCTTTTTTTTACACACGTAACATGTTTATTTATAGAATTATTTTTTAACAACAAAAACTTAAAATTACAGTATCACAAAATAAAATTAGAAAAAAAAAAGAATTATTAAAAAGAAAATTGAGTTATGAGACATTATTGCATGCATTATAGTACCTCTTACTTGATTGATACAGTTGTTTAATCTTTTTTTCGTACTATGCAATATTTTTACAATTTTTAGTTAAATAGTTAACAACAATTTATTTGCATTATATTCAACAATTAGTGCGATGATTAATATCTAACTATTGTTTCAGTTTTTTCCTAGTTTTTTTTGGAGGATTTTTATTACTTAGTTATTTTGACGATCATATTACTGTCCATTTTAACAAATCAGTTGTAATAATTATATTATTAATTAGGATTTTTACAAATTACAAAATTAATCAATATAATGAATTCAAAATTAAAATATGGAATATAATTACGAAAAAAAGTCCGGTTGTTAACAACCTAGTACTTATGAATTTTTTTTTAAAAGTTATTTTATCAATTGTATTATAATAAATCCCAGTACTACTGAAGATAAGAAATAGTTACAGTTTCATTGGTAAACAACTATTAAATGACTTAAATTAGCTTTTAATAAAGCGTCAATTATATATCGGTTTATTTTATTTAAAAAAAAAATAAAAAGTTACAAAGAATCAGGGCATTTTTAATTCATCGTATAAGAAAAATAATAAGATAAACGAATTTATTTATTTAAATAATACATATCATACATGATATTGATATACACCGACGGTTTGACTAATTACATGAAAAAAAAATAAAAATTCTTAACTGTTAAATAATACTAAAAATAATAATTAATATATATATTATATATAGAATACTCCAAATCAAACATTATTCTAACAAATATAGAGAACATTCCTACTCAAAATAGACCATCGGTGCTGACGTTAACTAGAGGTGGGTGAACAAAACTTCGTTTAACAACTTGAAGCGCATTTATTATTAGATGTGCAAATTGTATTATTCGGGCAACACCCGCCGTATATATCATTACACCAATGGTATCCGTATGGGCACTTAGACTGTCTTCCCACCAAAGATCTTTTATTCTTATTATCTTTAGTTGCTCCCACTCTACTAATGTCGTCGCCTCTTTTCCAATCAGAAGTCGATACATCATCTCTTTTCTGATTATCGTTGGCCGACGGGATTCTACTAATATCACCGCCTCTTTCCTGATTAGCTGGCGTAGCAGCAACGAATGTACTGAAAGCTACGATCGCGAGAGCAAGAAAAAAGGTAAAGAATTTCATGGTGATTTTAGATTGTTTGGAAGTTTCTTGAATTATCGTGAAATTTGGAATTGTTTGAAAATAAAAGTTATTTATTTGAAATTATCGTGAAATAACTGAGTGTAGAGTTAGGGAATTGAGCATGCTATTTATAATGAATTCGAAAAAAAAGAATGATGTAATAGAATGAATGAAAATTATTAGATAATCTCAATTGGCAAGGTTTCTTTGTTTGTTGTATTGACGGAGTTACGGAATTTAATGATTTATAAAATCTTTATTTTTTTCACGCCAAATAATCAAGATTTCGGTTTACAACGTTGCAATAATATATTAAAATGATAACGTAAATGGATATAGATGACGATAAGAAAAAAAACTAACTTTATTCAGCTTTATTAATTGTTGACAAGTAATATCGAACATTCGTTGATTCTTTACAATTAGATCAACTGTCTGATATTTTTAATTGTGATCTTGATTTTTCTCTTTGGAAATTCTTTTAAAATTTTCGTGAACTATTTCAAGATTTTATTATTTTTATAACGTAAACATGTTACATATGTATTTTGCCGATCGGATGGTGGACAATTTTTTTTAAAATTATCTGTTATTATTGTTATCTGTTGTTGTCTCCAAAAAATTACGTGATTTATGCTATTAATAATTTTGATTGGATGAAATCTGTTATTATTGTTGAGGAAGCCGAATTACTGCATAGGATCTGGTAAGTGACAGTAAGCGTTTAAAATGAAGAGAATTTCAATATGTAATAGCCATCATAATATTTTGAATTAATTTTTATGACCTTTAAATTCTTAGAGAACGTAAAACAAATTAAGTTTTTGAAAGTTGATTAAAAATATATTTTCATTTTAGGAAATTTTACAATGAATAATTTTCCATAGAAAGATCTCAGATTCTCAGTTATAGGGATTTTTATTTGTGTGGCGTTAAAATTATTTTTTTTTTGACCCCATTCATTATTTGCTCATGGGGTAAGTCCTTAGGTAGTATTTCTGTAGCACAATTTTAATATCAGGCAATTCGGGTAGATACAATTTTGGTCGATTATTTAAAAATCTAAGTAACACAATTTCGGTAAAACAATAATTTATAATCCGTAAAAATTTTTGAGTGTGATTCGAAATCTGTATGTAAAGGTTATTTATTTATTTATTTATTTATTTTTTTTAAAAAAAAGAAAAAAGAATAATCCTCTGTGTATTTATTTGAATCATTACTATTTTATTTCATTTTACTCTGAATTTGCTTAGTTATGCCAACGGATGATTGTCCGGATGACATCATCATCTGTCACGAGTAAATCTGAATCAATCCGTCGGATAATCCGTTATACATGTACATTAGAAATAATAATAGGATATACGGGTAGTATAATTTTGTCTAGTACGGATGACGGATGACGAATTATCTATGGCTATCCGGATCGCATCTCTAAATTTTTAACAATTTATTCTCTTTTAGAATAACATACACAAATAATAAATAATTTTACTTCTAACCTTAAAAAATTAATATTTCATGAATTTCTAATTTGCTTGCTCATTTTTATTATAAGATCACAATTATCGAAATCATTACTTTGCAAAATATTTGATATTTCGTAACTGAATATTAAAATGAAAACTGAAAAATTCGTTTTATGTAATTAGGTCGATTAATTGATTGTGGACAGTAAACTCCATCGGGAAATTTTTTAAGAGGATATATATCGATGAAAATGTCACTGATATATATCAGACTCGTCAAGATATACCGATGTGGATAAATTAGGTTATATTGACAATAATTATCAGTATCATTAAATTACGATAATTATCTTATAGTTAAAAATCGTTAAATTATTTATTGTTAAATAGTATTATGTTACTTTATTGTTAGATAACGTTAAATTATTCATTTATTAAATATATTAAATGTCGTTAGATTAATTAGTTGTTTTATTCAATAATAATTAATAAATACATTATTTAAATTAATTACTCTGATGTTTTTCCATTTCCGAAACTCCAGAATCCTACAAACTTAGACTCTAAGAGAAAATAAACAATTCCTAATGAAACAAAAAAATTAGTTCAGGTTTCGTATTCGAACCCTAAAATCATGAAGCCTACAAATTAGAAGAATAAACGTTAATAAACGTTTACATTAAAAAAAAAAAAGAAACGGTAAATTTCGCAAAGAAACTTACCGTTTCTAATCTCAAGTGCCCCCTGATCGATCTGGGACCTACAAAAAAATTATAAAAAAAAGAAACGTAAATACGTGTTTCATTTAAAAAACAAAAAAGGGTAAGTTTCATAAATTTCGTAACGAAACTTACCCGTTTCAAAACTCTAACGTTTATAATCGATACCTGCAAAAAAAAAATAATAAACGAAACGTTAAAAACATTTCTATCAAATAAAAAAACCAAAATATATAGTTTCGCAACTAAAATAGTTGCGAAACTTACCTAAACTAAATGCGTTTCTTAAAAAAAATAATAAAACAATATTCAAAGTTTTGCAACGCGAAACTTACCGTTCGAAATTTACCGTTTCGACGTACACGTATCCCTTTTTTACAAAAAGAGATAAGAAAAGTGCAATAATTCGTACGATATTTTAGAATGGTAGGCCATAAACTAGAAGAATTTGCTCTTATTCGAAAAGTTGGCTGGAGTTCATTAATTTTTACTGATTAAATTGTAAAGAATTATACGAAGTACAAAAAAGAAAGATAGAAGCGGTTTCTAGAGATAAATAATCATAAATCTAACTTTCAGACGTTATTTTGTTAAATAACTTACTAACCTTCGATTATTGGTTGGAATAAATATATCAAAGTTATATCGATATTGAAAATAAAATTTTATCGGTATATCAAGTTTTTAATAGTATATCGGTATATCGAATATTAGGTTAGACTGTACTGATTTTACTCCTATAATTAATATTATTAGTCATGATGTCACAGAGTCGCAACTGATATTGATAAATTGCGCGATACATCTCTGAGTTGAATAACTTTTTGTAATAGTTACGTAATTTTGTGTATACCCACTGATTATTTTTTTCTATAAATAAACCACATTTTGGTACTCGTACCCTCTTCCCTCCTTTTTTTTATAATATCTCTCGCGTTTTTTAATATCTCTTTCGTATTTTCTTTATAATATCTCTCGTTTTTTTTTTTTATAATATCTCTCTCTTTTTTTCATAATATCTCTCGCGTTTTTTAATATCTCTCTCTTTTTTTTATAACGACGTTTTTTACAACGTTTCATAACAAATTTTTTTTTATAATGTTGTTTTATAACGTCGTATTATATATATATTTTTTTTATACCGAGGTATCTCTCTCGTACAAAAAGAGTTTGTTTTGCAGTTTTATTAGTAAAAACGCCCATTTCCTGACGATGTCTAGGTTTTACATCTGGTCGTCACGCGTAACGAGGTATCTCTCTCGTAC